AACTCCTGGTGATCCACCTGCCTCGGCCTCCAAGGTGCTGGGATTACAGGCGTAAGCCACCGTGCCCAGCTGAGGATCCACTTCTAATTCTAGTTATCTTGCTGCTTCCACCACATCTTCAGTGACTTCCTCCACTGAAGTCTCAAACCCCTCAAAATTGTCTATGAGAATTGGAGTAAAATTCCAAACTCCTGTGAAAGTTGATATTTTGACCTCTTCCCATGAATGATGAGTGCTTCAATGACATCTAGAATGGTGAATCCTTTTCAGAAGATTCTTCATTTTCTTTGCCTGGAACCATCCCAGGAATCACTATGTATGGCAGCTATAGTCTTATAAAATGTGTTTCTTAAGTAATAAGACTTGAAAGTTGAAATTTCTCCTTGATTCATGGGAGGCAGGATGGGTGTTGTGTTAGCAGGCATGAAAACGTTGATCTCCTTTATATCTCCCTCAGAGCTCTTGAGTGACAGGTGCATTGTCAATGAGCAGTAATATTTTGAAAGGAGTCTTTTTTATCTGAGCAGCAGGTCTCAACAGTGGGCTTTAAATATTTAGTAAGCCATGCTGTCATCCAGGCTTTGTTGTTCCTTTTGTAGAGCACAGGAAGTATAGATTGAGCACAATTCTTAAGAGTCCTAGAATACTTGGAATGGTAAATGAGCATTGGCTTCAACTTAAAGTCACCAGCTGGCTGGGGGCGGTGACTCACACCTGTAATCCCAGCACTTTGGGAGGCCAGGTGGATGGATTGCTTGAGCTCAGGAGTTCAAGACCAGTCTGGGCAGTGTGGTGAGGCCTCACCTCTACCAGAAATACAAAAAATAGCCAGATGTGGTGGTGTAAGCCTGTCGTCCCAACTACTTGGGAGGCTGAGGTGGGAGAATCTCTTAAGCCTGGGAGGCCGAGGTTGCTGTGAGCTGAGATCATGCCACTCCACTCCAGCCTGGGTGACAGAGCAAGACCCCGTCTTAGAAAAACAAAATAAAGTCACCAGTTGCATTAATTCCTAACAAGAGAGTCAACCTGCCCTTTGAAGCTTTAAAGCCAGGAATTGACTTCTCTCTAGCTGTGAAAATCCTAGATGACATCTTCTTCCAACAGAAGAGTTATTTCCTTTACATTGAAAATCTGTTGTTTCGTGTAGCCACCTTCATCAGTGATCTTAGCTAATCTGAATAACTTGCAGCAGTTTCTACATCAGCACATGCTGCTTCACCTTGTGCCATTATGCTATGAAGATGGCTTCTTTCCCTAAACCTCAGGAACCAACCTCTGCCAGCTTCCAGCTTTTCTCCTGCAGCTTCCTTACTTACCTCTCTCTGCCTTCATAAATTGAAGAGAGTTAGGACCTTGCTCTGGATTAAGCCCTGGCTTAAGGGAATGTTGTGTCTGGTTTGATTTTCTATTCAGACTTGTAAAACGTTCTCCCCATCAGCAATAAGGCTGTTTCACTTTCTTATCATTCACGTATTCACTTTTAATTTCCAACTTTTTCTTTGCATTCACAGCTTAGCAGTTTGTAGGGTAAGAGGCCTAGCTTTCAGCTATCTTGGCTTTCAACGTACCTTCCCTACTAAGATTAATGATTTTTAGCTTTTGATTTAAAGTGAGAGACGTGTGACTCTTCCTTTCACTTGAACACTCAGAGGGCATTGTAGGGTTATTAGTGGGCCACATTTCAATGTTGTTGAATCTCAGGAAATAGGGGAGGCCCAAGGAGGAGGAGAGAGATGAGGGAAAGGTCAGTCAGTGGAGCGACCAGAATACACACGACATTTATCAGTTAAGTTTGCCATCTTATATGGGTGCAGTTTGTAGCACCCCAAAACAATTAAAATGGTAACATCAAAGATCACTGATCATAGATCACCACAGCAGATATATAATAATAATGAAAAAGTTTGAAATATTGTGAGAATTACTGAACTGCGACACAGAGACATGAAGTGAGCACATGTTGGAAAACTGGCGCTGATCGACTTGCTTGATGCATGATTGCCACAAATCTTCAATTTGTTAAAAAATCTGCAAATAAGTGAGGGATGCCTGTGTTTGTTTAATGGTTAACAGTCCATCACAGACTGGACAATTCATCAGTAATAACTTGTCCAGTTTGTGATCCATCAATCCATCTTCGTTTTGATGCATTTCAAAACAAGCCGCAGTCATCCACGTATTTCATGCCTAAACCCTTCAGCAGGTGTATCATTAACTTCAGTATTGAATCTAGTTCTTCATCTTTTTTGGAGATAAAGGTTATATGCAGTGAAATGTGCAAATCCTAAGTGTGCTCTTCAAAATGTGTCAAGAACCTTCCCATCATTGCTGTGTCAGTCATTTTAGAAGAGTACAGTGGGCTCTGTCACTGTGTTTGAGTCGTGCCCATAACAGACAAAGTTATGGCCTCTCACCCTGCAGCACAACGCCCCGATCCCCCAAGGAGGCAGAGGAGCAATCCAGTTTGTCACGCATTATCAGCACTCCAGCACCCAGAGACGCATCCGCGTGACCACCATCGCCCGAAAGTAAGCAGCCCCGGTTTCCTTTCTGTTGAGGAACTGACTGACATTTTTCCCTTGAAGAGATACTTTAACATTTGTTAGTCTGTCTTTTTGATTCCATTGAATGGTTCTCACCAGACCTCATTGGCTTATTTGATCAGAAGGGGAGGCATTTTTGGCTAACCCAGTTGGGTCTATGAATACTTGCCTAGAAGCATCATCTTTTTGTAGGAAATATAGATTAAAACTTATTATTTATTACCATTTGGAGACAGTCTCGCTCTGTTGCCTAAGCTGGAGTACAGTGGCACAATCACAGCTCACTGCAGCCTCAACCTCCCATGCTCAAGTGATCCTCCCAGTTCAGCCTCCCAAGTAGCTGGGACCCTAGGCACCTTCCACCAAAACTGGCAAATTTTTTTACTTTTTGTAGCAAGATGGGAATCTCACAATGTTGCCCAGGCTGGTCTTGAACTTCTAGGCTCAAGCAATCCTGCCACCTCGCCCTCCCAAAGTGTTGGGATTTCAGGAATGAGCCACTGCACCTACCCTGTGTTTCTTTATCTGAATGGATGTCTGGCTTTCTGTTCTCTCCTAAACATAAGCATGGCACTAACTCTGGAATTGTCAGTTGGGCAGATGTACAGAGTCAGCTCAGGCACATAGAAGCAGCATTTGACCAGGAGGCTGCAGCAGTCTTGATGGCACGACTTGGGGTGTTCCGAGCGGAGTCAGAGGAGGGACCTGATGTGCTCCGGTGGCTGGACCGACAACTCATCCGACTGGTAAATTGGGGACAGTGGCATTAGGTTCAGTCTTGGTTTCTGCTTTACTTTCGAGAGAAGAAAATTGTCACTTTATTATTATTATATAGTGAATCAGCAAGAATTTATCAGTTGCCTACCTTATGCCACCCACTGGACATTCTGGTAAAGACGTGTTAAATGTGCATTTTCCCCTCAGAGATTTACATTATAGTTGGGGAAGAAACAACACGCATGGAGCATTTGGAGAGTGATACAAATCTGTGTGGGTTGAGTTGACTTAGTTGAGTCATTTTGCTAATGCTCTGGTCTTGTATTTTTCTTCTAAATCTGGAAAGTAGTTTTAGAAATAGGGATCCAGGCCTGGTGAGTTTAGGGAGATGTCTTATATCAGTCTGGGTTTAATAAGATGAGAGAAGTAACACTGTAATTTAAACAGGGGAAGTCTTTTATAAAGAATATAATAAGGGAGTAGAAGAGAGACTGGCTAGAAGGAAGTGTAGAGAACTGGGCAGCCACTACTTCTGGGGCTGAGATAGAGCACCCAAGGAAGTGCTCCCTCTCCCCAGGGCTGTTCCAGACCTAGTTGGGACGGCATGGCCATGGCTTGGTGAGTCTTTTGCAGAGAGGTTGCCATGGTGCTGTGCCAGGGGAACTTGCTAGAAATTCATTCTCTGGAATTTGAAGAAAATCCACCCTCCAGGGTGCCAGGGAAAGCTGTGTACCGGAAAATGTCTCATTGGAGGCATGCAGGGATGCTGCTTTAGCTGCTGGCTGCCATGTTCTTCAGGAACTCAGCGCTGGGGAAGCCACGGTGCAGCAGGACCTGGCACCCAGGAAGCTGCTGAGTGAGCACTCAGGCGCCCGAAGCTGACACCTCCAGCGCACTCTACTGACAAAGCTTGATATCATGCCAGCTGGCAAACGAGAGGTAGTGAAAGGGCCCGTGTCCATTGCACAGCAGGCAAAGGGGGTGAGTGTGGAGCCAGCACAAGGCAATAAATCAATAATTGGTACAGGATAATCTTACCTTCCTGGAGAGTCACAGCATGTGTTTGTGATCAAAGGCACCATGGAGAGGCCCAGTAAGGAAACTGTTTCATTTTGTTCAGCCCTCTATTTGCCCTTGCTATCTCATGGATCCATTTTTCAGGAAGTGTCAACATTTCAAACATAATTTGAAAAGTGCTGCTTTAAGATTTCAAAAGGCAGAGGGCCCAGGTGGTTAACAAAGACTTCCTGTGGAAATGAGCCTTGAGTCAGGTTTTTTATTAAAGAATAGCTTAATTGGAGAGGAGAAGGCGAGGCCTGCTGAGTGGAGTGCTAGCAGCAACGAGCCCGCGGGACCTAGCTGGGTCTTTTAGCTTATGCTGAGGACTTTGGAGAAACCAGTGTCACATGAGGCCAGGTTGTGCAGTGGGGAACAAGTCAGGGAAGGTACACCTTGATTGGGGAGCTCCTTAACTTTAGGGAGCAAGGGAGACTTGGGTGTGATTGTTAAGCAGGGGTGTGACGTCGGCATGATACTTGTTTACGTTTAATATCACCATGTAAGGCACATTGCAAGGAGAAAAGGCTATTGTTGTGAATGGAAGATTTTTCAGGCTCAATGGTGCTGAGACCAGCGTAGTGGCAGTAGAGATGGAGGAAGCTGAAGGTTTGAAATCAGGATGTAAACTGAAAGAATTGATAAAACTTGATGAAATGATTCTTTGTAAAGTCAAAAACCAAAAAGTCAGCATTGAGTGACATTTCACACGTGGGTAACTGCATGAGTGGTGGTGAGGTAGAAGATGGGAAAGGAGTGCAATTTTAGGGTGAGAGAAGGTGAATCTCTTTTTTTAATGTAATAGTTTATTTTTGATAATTGAATGTGAACTTGCAAAAGTATGTCTCACGAAAACTCCCATATTTGGGTGGGTGTCCTGACTGGGGCTCAGGCTAGAGGTCAGCACTGGACACTGGAGGGTGGATTTGGGTGACACCCATCTGACTCTAGTGTTCATTTGTACCCATAACAGTGAGGATAGGAGGAGGGGGCCAAGAACTAACCCCCAAGGAGTTCACAGTTAGGGGGAGGAGGAAAACAAAACCATTGAAGAAGGCAGAAAAGGGCTGGTTGGAGAGATTATGAGAAGTAGGAAAGTGATGTATTAGCAGCTGAAGGAGAAAGTTTCAAGACGTTTGGGCAGTCACCAGGCTCACACTGCTAGGAAATTCAAGAAGATGAGAACTGCGGAAGCACACCAGATTTTGTGGGAAGAAAGTTATTGTTAGAAATGGGGTTTCTTTAAATAGTGAATAACCCAATTCTTTAGTGACCAGAAATGTGTGAGCAGAAATAAAGGCAGAAAGAGAAAACATCGTGGTTCAGAAATCTGCCATTGGGAGAAATAAATTTGAGTTTTAGTGTGAGAGAACATCAAAGCGTAACTGTAATTGTTAGTTTTCATGATGTTAGAGGGTTTTCATGTGGAACAGGTACCTGGAAGAGCTCACCTAGCTTCTCTGGTCAGGGCGGTCCTCAGGCCAGCACTGCCTGGGAGCTGATTAGAGATGCAGAATCCAATTCCTCCCAAGAGCCTGCATTTTTTTTAAATTTATTCTTCTTCTTATTATTATTATTTTTGAGAAGGAGGCTCGCTCTGTTGCCCAGGCTGTAGTGCAGTGGTGCAGTCTCGGCTCACTGCAAGCTCCGCCTTCCAGGTTCACGCCATTCTCCTGCCTCAGCTTCCCGAGTAGCTGGGACTACAGGCGCCCGCCACCATGCCCGGCTAATTTTTTTTGTATTTTTAGTAGAGACGGGGTGTCACCGTGTTAGCCAGGATGGTCTCGATCTCCTGACCTCGTGATCCGCCCGCCTCAGCCTCCCAAAATGCTGGGATTACAGGTGTGAGCCACCACGCCCGGCCAGAGCCTGCATTTTAACAAGTCCCCCCTGGTCATTTGCCTGCTTGAGAAGTGCTAGTCTAGGACTTACAGTAAGTGGCAGAGTTCAGACTGGATGTAGCTTAGTCCAAGAATATTTCCAGGTAATGCTAACTTAGATTTTTCTCTCTCTCTTTGTGTGTGTTTGTTTGTTTTTTGGTATTTTCTTTCCATAGTGTCAAAAGTTTGGACAGTATAACAAAGAAGACCCCACTTCTTTTAGGTTATCAGATTCCTTTTCTCTGTATCCTCAGGTAAGTAATATATGTTTCTAAAATAACTACAGAACAGTAAATTTTGATAGAAATTAACTTTATTCTCAGGGTAAAGTGAAGGCTTTTTAATGTCTTGAGACTCAGTCTATAGGTGACAGAGATTGTTCAACCCAAGTTGAATGTGTGTCGAGGCAAGACAGCACCCTAAGCCCTATAGAAGATAAAGATGACATGCAGAGGGGAGGAAACTCATGCATACATTTTTCATGAACTTGCAAAATAGGATCATTGATAAAAGGCCATAAAAAATATCTCTGATGTGTAGAAGTTCTGGGGAAACAGTCAGCTACCTCAGCGACAAACCAAGAAAATGAGCACACATGGAGATGAATATAACAAAACAAAACCACAGTTAGTGCAACAAGTATTTAATAATATGTCTGTGGTTATTATGTGCATCACAACCAGGAGTGAGCAATAAGCAGCTCCTGAAAGTAACTGCACTCAGCATGAACAAAGCCTTTGGAAGCCATTGGACAAGAGAGAGGAGCGGGAAAAGTAGATGAATTTCCATCTCCATTGTAATTTAGCAAATAGAGTGTAACTCATGGGTGTCTATAAGGATTGCAGGAGCTGAGGCCAATTGAGTATTAAATATTTAGCACAATGCCAGTCACCTGTTCAGCACTAAATGTGACCTAGCTCCATAGCAGGTGCCTGGGACTCTGAGGTGCCCATGTGTGAGAGGTTAAAGTTGTGTTGTGTTGCGGGAAGAGCCCTGGACCGGCCAGAGTCAGGGTGAGGTTCCAGTGCTGGCCCCGCTGGGCTGACCTTAGAGGAAGTTCCAGAGCCCTGTAGAGTTTGGTTTCCCACCTCTAGCAGTGGGGAGTTGCTCTGGTGAAGTGATTTGCAGGGTTGTTTTTTTTTTAAGTCATAGAATCCTTTCTTTGAGAGGAGCTGCCCTGAAAAGCCAGCACATAAAGCAGATAGAGTTGGCGCTTCTCTGGTTGTGCCCATGTACCACCCCCATAGTGGGTCCCACTAGAGTCCTCGTCCCTGGGCCCCTGAGGACTTGATGAAGACTCTAAGAGCACAGCTTGAAAACCAGATGAAATGCTTTCTCAGATTCCTTCTGTCAAGGCATTCTAGGAGAGAGGCCAAGAGCCCAGTCTCTAGAGCCAGGCGGCCTGGTGTACAGTCCAGCTGTGACACTCAGTGGTGGGGTGAGTGTCTTGGACAAGTTGCTCGCCCCTCTGTGCCTTAGTTTCCTCACCTGTAAACTAGGGATGGTAAGAGAACTTACCTCATGGGCTTATTGGAAGGATTAAGTAGTTCTTGTCAAGTGCTTTGTGCCTTGCATGTAGGATGTATTGAATGTCAGCCTTGATTATTATTTAGGAACCTATGATTCAATATTTGGAGTCTCAGGAAGCTTTATACTTCACAAGGCAGCTCATTTTCATGTTCTGGCAACTCTTTAACATGAGCTGAAAGTCTGTCCCCACCCCTTCTTCTCATCCTCGAGGGTGAGAACCTATGGCTGCAGTGTCATCCCTTGTCCCTTTCTCCCCTGCACCCATACTTCACCATCCCAGCTTGTGTCCTGAGCCGTCATCTGCTGTTCCTGTGCCTGGAATCCCCTTCCCCCTGGCGCTGTGGCCTCCTCAGCCACGTCTCTCAGGGTGCACCGTCAGTCCCCAGAGCTCTAGGAAGTCTCCTCCTGGCCCTCCACCCCCACCTCCTCAGTGCTATCCTATACGCTGGCTCATAACTCGTAGCCCCAAGTGTGCCTTTCTCACTGGGTCTGACTTCTCTGAGAGCAGATATTCTGTCTCCACTGCCTGGCACAGTGACTCTGGAAATGTTTCTTTGGCATTTCTTTTAACTGTGGAAGCTCTGACATACCCAGAGGCCCTTTTTAAAAAAAAAAAAAAAAAATTTTTTTTAATTTTTAATTTTTTTTTTGAGACGGAGTTTTGCTCTTGTTGCCCAGGCTGGAGTGCAATGGCGCGATCTTGGCTCACCACAGCCTCCGCCTCCTGGGTTCAAGCGATTCTCCTGCCTCAGCCTCCTGAGTAGCTGGGACTACAGGTGCCCGCCACCATGCCCGGCTAATTTTGTATTTTTAGTAGAGATGGGATTTCTCCATGTTGGTCAGGCTGGTCTGGAACTCCTGACCTCAGGTAATCTGCCTGCCTTGGCCTCCCAAAGTGCTGGAATTGCAGGCATGAGCCACCACGCCCAGCCAGAGGCCCTTTTTAAAAATAAATAAATAAGTAAATAAATAAAATAATTTAATTTTTAATTGTGGTAAAACACACAACAAAATTTACCATCTTAACCATTTTTAAGCATACAGTTGAGTAGTGTTAGGTGTATTCACATTATTGAGCAACTGATGTCTAGAGTTTTTCACTTTGCAGAGCTGAAACTCTGTGCTCATTAAGCAACAACTCCCAGTTTTCCTCTTTCCCCAGCCCCTGGTACCACCTTATGCTTTCTGTTCTGTGAACCCAGAGAGCCCTTTTCTGGGTTCTCCTATTTCAGACCCCTGAGGTAGATCTACTCTGTGGGTGTCTAAGAAGGTTACAACTATATGCATTTCTCTTTCATTCTTTGTGAATGCAGTTCATGTTCCATCTGAGAAGATCTCCATTTCTTCAAGTGTTTAACAATAGTCCTGATGAGTCGTCATATTACAGACATCATTTTGCCCGGCAGGACCTGACCCAGTCCCTCATCATGATCCAGCCCATTCTCTACTCTTACTCCTTTCATGGGCCACCAGAGGTAAGGCTCTACCTGAGTGCTTTCCTGAGGATTGGAATACCTAACTTGTATATTCTTTTTTAAGCAAATTTACTTAGAGAGCAGAACTGTAAAAAAATAAAATTTTGAGTTTTTATAGTAATTTAAATTATTAAATTTAATTTAATTTAAATTTCTATTAAAAAATACCTTTAGGAAAATGTCAAAGACATGTAAAGCTATTATTTGTGGAAGGCAGGAATAAATGTAAAAAACTTTAAGAAATAACATGGTTGCTTTCTTTTTCCTTGTGCTTGTATACTTACATCCAGCAATTCCATGTCTTGTAACTGAAAGAAAGACTCCTAGATACAGAATAGACTTTGTGCAAAAAAAAAAAAAAAAAAATAGTAAAGGAACCACTATAATAGTGAATCAAATAACAATCCGAATGTTTAATATAGGAAAATAAATAAGTAACCTCAGAAATGCAGTTGACCCTCAGTATTCATGGAGGATTGGTTCCAGGACCTCCCTCAGATACCAGAATTCTTAGATACTCAAGTTACTAATATAAAATTGTGTAATATTTGCATGTAACCTAGGCACATCCTCCTATATACTTTAAGTCATTTCTAGATTAGTTATAATACCTATTATGTAAGTGCTATGTAAATAATTGTCATACTGTATGGTTTAGGGAATAATGACAAGAAAGTCTGTACATGTGCAGTGCAGATGCATATTTTTTTCATATATTTTCAATCCAAGGTTGGTTGAATTTTGAGATGTGGAACCCACCGATATGGAGGGCCAACAGTATTCACAAAATGTATGTAACATAATAAAATAGAAAGTCCTTATGTAAAAATGGTACATGAAAAAAAGTCAAAATAGAAACTTTTCTAAATATTCCCTGCAAAAATAAAGAACTATATGGAAAAAAACCAAAATATCAATATTTGTTATTCTTGGGTACACATTTTAAAATTTTCTTTATTGAGTACAACTTACTTTCATTATTGAAATAATTACTAAAATAGCAGGTGGATCACCTGACATCAGGAGTTTGAGACCAGCCTGGTCAGCATGGTGAAACCCCGTCTCTACTAAAAATATAAAAATTAGCTGGGCATGGCACCAGTAATCCCAGCTACTCAGGAGGCTGAGGCTGGAGAATCGCCTGAACCCGGGAGGCAGAGGCTGCAATGAGCTGAGATTGCACCACTGCATTCCAGCCTGGGAACAGAGCAAGACTCCCTCTCAAAAAAAGAAAGTTACTGATATAAAAATTATATAGTTATTTATATAATATATAAAATATTACTTATAAATAAATAATAGACATGTATTTTTTTTTGAGATGGGGTCTCACTCTGTCACCCAGGCTGGAGTACAGTGGTGTGATCTTGGCTCACGGCAACCTCCACCTCCTAGGTTCAGGTGATTGTCCCACTTCAGCCTCCTGAATAGCTAGGACCACAGGCACATGCCACCACAGCCCAGCTAATTTCTTGTGTTTTTGGTAGAGACAGGGTTTTGCCATGTTGCCCAGGCTGGTCTTGAACTCCTGGGCTCAAGTGATCTGCCTGCCTTGGCCTCCCAAAGTGCTAGGTTTACAGGCGTGAACCACCACGCCCAGCCATAATATATATTTTGTAGTAAACTTCAAAATTTGTGTTAAATGCTATTTTTCATATAGGCATCTTTATTCTGTCTCATCTACAGAGAGTGTCTCTAATTGCTAAAATACATACAAAACTGAGAATATTCAGAATTATTTTTCGTTCTAAGATCAAAAGATATTACTAAGCCTGGTCAACATAGTGTCAGACCCTGTCTTTACAAAAAATAAAAAATTAGTTGGGCATGGTGGCATGCCTCAGCAACTCTAGAGGTTGAGGTGGGAGGGTCACTTGAGCCCAGGAGGTCGAAGCTGCAGTGAGCCAGGGTCACATCACTTGACTCCAGCCTGGGCAACAGAGCAACACCCCGACTCTATATTTTAAAAAAAAAGGTATTAATTTCCCTTCTCAGTTGATGAGGAATTATTTGGAGTCTCTTTTTCCTACAAAGTCGAGAATGAGTCAGGAGCAGAAAGTGGAAGTGTGTCAGGAAGAAAACGGGGGAGCCACTGTGCTGGGCACCATTTGTAAATAGCCTTTGCTATGGATACCAGGCATGGGGTCAGGGTTGGGTGGAAGTGGTGGCTGTGTGGGGAGCAGGGAAAACCAATGCCATCTTTCTCTCTCTTTTTCTTCAGCCAGTACTCTTGGATAGCAGCAGCATTCTAGCTGACAGAATTTTGCTGATGGATACTTTCTTTCAAATTGTCATTTATCTTGGTGAGGTAAGATGATTTTTTTGTTTGTTTTTAAATTGGGGAAAAGGCATACACATTTATTTAATTGTGCACACAAGGAGAATTATTGTCCTTAACTGGTTTTTGTTTTCTTCTTATTTATTAATTTAGGTTTTTAATGACATTTGTAACAACAGTTTGGGCTTAGAAAGCGCAGTGGCTTTTATTCTAGTGAATAGAACCTTTTCTTATGTCTCTGGAGTATTTGTATGTTTATTAATTTTAATAATATTTGCTGTAAATATGGGCCGGGCACAGTGGCTCAGGCCTGTGATCCCAGCACTTTGGGAAGCTAAGGTGGACAGATCACCTGAGGTCAGGAGTTCAAAACCAGCCTGACCACAGGCAAAACCCCATCTCTACTAAAAATACAAAAGTTAGCCAGGTGTGGTGGCACACACCTGTAGTCCCAGCTACTTGGGGGGCTGAGGTGGGAGAATTACTTAAACCCGGGAGGTGAAGGTTGTAGTGAGCTGAGATCACGCCACTGCACTCCAGCCTGGTCAACAGAGTGAAACTCCGTCTCAAAAAATAATAAATAATAATATATGCCGTAAAAAAATCTCAGGTGGTTCTTTTTTTATTTTTATTTATTTATTTTTTTTGAGACAGAGTCTCGCTTTGTTGCCCAGGCTGGAGTGCAGTGGCACGGATCTCGGCTCACTGCAACCTCCACTTCCCAGGTTCAAGTGATTCTCCTGCCTCAGCCTCCCGAGTAACTGGGACCACAGGCGCCCGCCACCACGCCCAGCTAATTTTTTTTGTATTTTTAGTAGAGACGGGGTTTCACCATTTTAGCCAGGATGGTCTCAATCTCCTGACCTCGTGATCCACCCGCCTCAGCCTCCCAAAGTGCTGGGATCACAGACGTGAGCCACTGCGCCTGGCCGGTTCTTTTAAATCACTGTAAATCATTACCTTCAAAGTTAGGCAAAACTAGTTTATTCTCCTCAGTAAATATTTTATACACACTACTGTTCTTTCAGAGTTAGCGTTTAGAGCTAAAGTTGTGCTTTGATGAAATAACATGGCCCAGGGAACTTCACACTATGTCTGTGGATCCCTAGGATGGCTGTGGATAGCTTTCAGTCCATTTCTTTCTCAGAAAGAAATTCTGAGACTCTGTGGGGTTTCTCAGTGGGGCTCATGCCCTGAGAAAGGGAATAGCTTCTCTGAATTATTTGCATCTTTATGGAAAAATCCTTTAATGGAGATGATGGTGATATTTATATTCAGTGATGCTTTTTCTTCTATTGTATGTTCTCTACCTTCATAATATTGGCTATTGATTTGGTTTCCTAGTGGCCAACCATTAGAAATGATTTCTATATCGTGAAAAGATATAAATTGTGTTTTGGGATTCCTTTAGTAACTTAGGAAGTATTCGTTTTCTAATACTCCTCAGTATTTTATAACTGTAAACTTTTTTCAGCATATTAACACCCAGTCTGCTAGCCACTTGCACACAAGTGCTAGGCTGTCAGTAATAGTCCTAGACTGAGAGCCGGATGACCAGCTGCTCTACCCACTGGGTCCTTTGGTATCGGTACAGTCAGCCCTCCGTATCCACCGGTTCCACCTCTGCAGATTCAGCCAATGGCAGGTTAAAAATAATTTTGAAATAATGATAAAAAATAATACAAATAAAATGTATAGCACAGGCCAGGTGTGGTAGCTCATGCCTGTAATTCCAGCACTTTGGGTGGCCAAGGCAGACGGATCATCTGAGGTCAGGAGTTCAAGACTAGCCTGGCCAACATAGCAAAACCCTGTCTCTACTAAAAATACAAAAATACAAGTGTGGTGGCAGACGCCTGTAATCCCAGCTGCTTGGGAGGCTGAGGCAGGAGAATGGCTTGAAGTCGGGGAGTGAAGGTTTCAGTGAGCCGAGATTGCACTACTGCACTCCAGCCTGGACGACAGAGTGAGACTCTCTCAGAAAAAAAAAAAAAAAAAAGAAAAAGAAAAGAAACACACAAGAACTATTTATATATTCTTTACATTGTAATAGGTATTATAAGTAATCTAAAGATGATTTAAAGTATATGGGAAGATGTACGTCGGTTATATGCAAATACTATGCCATTTTGTATGAGGGACTTGAGGATCTATAGACTTTGGTATTGGGAGGAGTAGTCCTGGAACCAATCTCGTGGATACCGAGGGCCGACTGTACTGACGATGAAGCATTCTTTGTCCTAAGCTCACCCCTTATCGACATTTCCTCTGTAACCCCTGATGCTGTTCATTTACTTGTTTATTGAGCACCTTCTTGTGCAAGTGAGGGGTTCTAAGGATAAAGACAGTGACACTGCTGTCACCTTCCCAAAGCCCCGAGTGTGCTGAATGCAAGTGTTCTTAGGAACTCCTGGCCCCTGGTGAGCTTGTGGGCATTTCCCATAGGCCAACTGTCAATCACAGCATTTAGACCTGGAAAATGGTAACTGCCACTCTGAGAGGAAGCGAGCAGGCTACAGAAGGAGGCATCTGATGAGAATCCTCTGCCTGGAGCCATGTTAATGGCTCTGTTAAGACACATTGCACACTTGCTGTAGCCTCTTTCTCCATTTTTCCTGTCCATTGTCTTCTTGTTCCCCTAAATAACATGCAAAAGCACTTCACTTTATTTATAAAGGTATATGAATCAGTTAATGAATGTTTCTTGATTTCCTGTGATATAAGGTATTTTCTAGAGCAGTTGCTGATGAATATAAAAGAAGGAAGGGTGATAAAATGTGTAGCTTAGTCAGGGAGACAGATCGTCTGCTTTCTACAGTTTAGCATATGGCTTCTCTTCACTGCCTGATCAACACTCATACTTTGATTCTTACAGCTCTTGTCTCCTTTGCCAAGAGTACCCCAATTCAGGGCCCAGGGGGAGCAGGGGATAGGGATGAGTCAGTTGCACCCAAGTCTGTATGACTACTGCTTACTGGAGGAGGAGTGTAATATGTGTGCCATTAGGCAAGGAGATGGGGGAGTGGAGTCTCTGTGGGCAGCCAACAAAGCCCTTTCCTTACCAGATATTTGGAGATGAGAGGCTAGACTGAGTGATAACAGTAGAAGTGGAAAAGGAGGGAGGCCGCCGCTCCTTGGGATGAGTAATCCCCAGGCTTTGTTAACTAGTTGATATAGAAGAGAGGAGGCATGAGTGATGCCTGACATTCCTGGGGTAATGTGCAGGCAGGGGTGTCCTGGATGCACCCATTTTTCTTACTCCTGCTTCTCCTCCTGCCGGTAGCTCTGCTTTGCTCTCCCTCTGAAGCTTGTCATTTTTGACATTAGACTTTTTCACTGGAAACAAGCTCTGGGTGGCAGTGGTAGAATGGCAGTGTCAGTGAAGGCTGTTGTTACAGTTTCCACAATAGTTTTTGGTTGGTTTGTTTCTGTGTAGACCATAGCCCAATGGCGTAAAGCTGGCTACCAGGACATGCCCGAGTACGAAAACTTCAAGCACCTTCTGCAGGCACCACTGGATGATGCTCAAGAAATTCTGCAAGCACGCTTCCCGATGCCACGTTACATTAACACGGAGCATGGAGGCAGTCAGGTGAGCAAGCTGAGTTCTAGCTCCAGTGGTTTGTTCGTTTTATGATAGATTGTTATTGCTATACATCCAAACAGGATGGTTAATATTTTATGCAATGACATAAGTTGACACACAGGTAATCTTCCAAATATGACTTCTTTTTAAATGAGTGGTCAGAATACACTTATGTAAAGGGATTGCCGAGATAAAATACACATTTTATGTTTTAGGATCCTTAAATGGAGAGCCAGTGGGCTTAAACTAAAGAAATCGATTACTGTGCAGTAAAACAATTCTAATTTAACCAAAAAAATGTTGTAAAAAATTATCTTTTTTCTGTTACATTAATATTAATGTCACTTTTTAATCTTTAAACCTTTTTGTTGTTGTTAAAGGCTCGATTCCTTTTGTCCAAAGTGAACCCATCTCAGACACACAATAACCTCTATGCTTGGGGCCAGGTAAGAAATTTTCAGGTATTTGGGGAGGATGTCAAGCTAGTTTTTTTTTTTAATTTGTTTTAAAATTCTACAAATTGGATCTCTTTTGGCCTGGAGACAGAATAACTGCATAACTTGGGTATTTTGCTGGGGAGTAGCAGGCAGCGAATCAACTTGAATAACATGGCTGGGCCGGAGCTTGAGGGGGCTCCCTGGGCGGGTCCCCTTCCACAATATACAGCATAACATACCAGGTTCAGGCCAGGGGACAGAGCACTGTACTGTGGCCTCCATGGAGGTCGTCTCCTTCGTCACACAGCAGCGTGGCCCCTAGTCCTCTCTCTGCCGAGAACACAGGGCAACTTGTCACCATCGATTTTGCCGCCTCCTCACTTTCCAGCCTAATTCCTTTCCTTTTCTCCCACCCCACCCGCCCCCCACCAATTACTACTTTATCTAACTGTTCCCAGCATTTGTGTCTCTCTCAGATGAGTCTTTCCTTTCATTCTGTTTTCTTATAACACTTTTAAAATTAAACTTTTTTGAGATAATTGTAAATTTACATATAGTTATAAGAAATAATACAGAGGGATCACCTGTATCTTTTACCCATTTTCCCTTAGTGTTAACATCTTGCAAAAACTATAATACAGTATCACAACCAGGATACTGAGATTGGTAAGGTCAAGATGTGCGGCATTTCCATCACCACATTTATTATGCACTTTATTTCTATGAGTGTTACATTGTAACATATAATGAAATAATTGTACAACTCATCATAATGTAGAATCGGTGGGAGCCCTGAGCTTGTTTTCCTGCAGCTAGATGGTCCCAGCTGGGGGTGACAAGAGACAGTGACAGATCATCAGGCATTAGATTCTCATAAGGAGCACACAACCTAGATCCCTCACATGCGTTGTTCACAATAGGGTTTGCACTCGTATTAGAATCTAGTACTGCTACTGATCTGATGGGAGGTGGAGTTTGTATATATGGCTGAATTCTATTGGTTAATATTTTTTCGAGAATTTTTGCATCTATATTTATGAGGAATATTGGTCTGTAGTTTTCATTTTTTTCTCCTGTTTTTGTTTGGTTTGGTATCAGGATAATACTAGCTTCATAAAATGAATTGGGAAGTGTTTCCTTCTCTCCAATTTCTGGGGAAGATTGTGTAGAATTGGGGATTCTTCAGACATTTGGTTGATTTTTCTATGAAGCCATCTGGGCCTAGAGATTTCTTTTTTGAGAGTTTTTAGATTACTAATTCAACTTCCTTAATAGTTACAGGGCTTTTCAAATTATTGATTTCATATTGGATGAGTTATGGCAGTTGTGTTTTTTGAGGAATTGTTCCATTTTGTTTACACTGTCAAACTTACGTGTATAAAGTTGCTTGTAGGATTCCCTGACTATCCTTTAGATGTCCATAGAGTCTGCAGTGATACCCGTTTTATACCTGATATTGATAAATTTATGTCATCTCTGTTTTTTCTTTTCTTTGTCAGTCTTGCTAGAGTTTGGTAATTTTATTGATCTTCTCAAAGAATCAGCTCTTCATTTCATTGACTTTATTATCTTTTTATTTTCAATTTCATTGGTTGCTGCTCTAGTCATTATTATTTACTCTCTCCTGTTTGCAATAGGTTTTTAAAAACCCTTCTGGCTGGGTGTGGTGGCTCACACCTGTAATCCCAGCACTTTGGGAGGCGAAGGTAGGCAGATCACGAGGTCAGGAGTTCGAGACCAGCCTAGCCAACACAGTGAAACCCCGTCTCTACTGAAAATATAAAAATTAGCTGGCGTGCTGGCACGTGCCTGTAGTCCCAGCTACTCGGGTGGCTGAGGCAGGAGAATTGCCTGAACCCAGGAGGCGGAGGTTGCAGTAAGCCGAGATTGCGCCAGTGCACTCCAGCCTGGGCGACAGAGCAAGACTCTATCTTGAAAAACAAAATTCAAAAAAGAAGTGAATTTATTATAGACAGTGTATAGTTGGGTCATGGTTTTTAATGCAATCTGCTGAGCTCTCTTACTTGGTATATTTAGACCATTTATAGATAAAATGTAATTAATGATATGTTAGGGCTTAAGTGTGCCATTTTATTTTTTGTTTTCTGCTTTTCTTTTTTCATTTCGTTTTGTATACTTTTTTCCTGCCTTTGTTGTGTGTACTTTTTTCCTGTCTTCCCATGAGTTATTTGAACATATTTTAGGATTCCCTTCTGACTTGTTTGTAATGTTTTTGAGTGTATCTCCTAATTTAGCTTTTTTAAGTAGTTGCTCCTAAGTGCCCTAGGTTTTTTTTAATTTTAATTAAAATGAGGTCTTGCTATGTTGCCTAGGCTGGTCCTAAACTCCTGAGGTCAAGCGATCCTCCCACCTCAGCCTCCCAAAGTGCTGGGATTATAGGCATGAGCCACCACACCTGGTCAGACCCTAGGTATTACATCATATATGCGTAACTTATCACAGTCTACTGGTGTTTTTTATCAGTTCAAGTGAAGTCTAGAGACCTTACCTCCCTCTTCCATCACTTTCTTCTCCCCCATCAGTAATATAATTATGTTAAATATTTCCTCTGCATACATTTAGTATCACATCAGACAATGTTACAATTTTTATTTCAAGCATCAAACGTAATTGATAAGTTTTAAGGAAAACCTATTATATTTCTCTATACGGTTGCTTTTATTGTTTTCTTTATTTTTAAAGATCTTTTAGCCATTCTTTTTTTCTTTTTTTCTTTTTTTTTTTTTGTTTGTTTTTTTGAGACAGAGTTTTGTACTTGTTGCCCAGGTTGGAGTGTAATGACGGGATCTCAGCTCACTGCAACCTCCGCCTCTGGGTTCAAGCAATTCTCCTGCCTCAGCCTCCCGAGTAGCTGGGATTACAGGCATGCACCACCACGCCTGGCTAATTTTGTATTTTTAGTAGAGACAGGGTTTCTCCTTGTTGGTCAGGCTGGTCTTGAACTCCTGACCTCAGGTGATCCGCCTGCCTCAGCCTCCCAAAGTGCTGGGATTACAGGCGTGAGCCGCCACGCCCAGCCTACTTTTAGCCATTCTTTTTAGCATAGATCTGCTGGTGATAAATTTTTAGTTTTCTTTTATTTGAGAATGTCTTGATATCCCTTTCATTTCTGAAGAATATTTTCTCTGCGTATAGGATTCTGACTAACAGCCCTTTTCTTTAAGCAGTTGAAAAATATTGTGCCGCTTCCTCTGGCCTTTATGATTTCTTATGAAAAGTTCACCGTCAGTCTCAGTGTTTTCCCCTGTAGAGAAGGTGTCATTTTCCTCTGGCTGCTCCCAGTAGTCTTTTTCTGTTGTTAGTTTTTAGGGTGGATGGGCAGGGGCAGAGAAGAAAGTGTAATTATGACATGTCTTGGCATGGATTTCTGTGGGTTTATCCTATTTTGGTTTACTCAGCTTTTTGCTTCTGTAGGTTTGTATCTCTTGCCAAATAGGAAAGTTTTCGGTCATTATTTCTTTGAATGCCTTGTCACCTGCTCTCTTTTCTTTCTTTTTTGACATCCAGTGACATGAATGTTAGATTTGTTGCAGTACCCCAGGTACTACATTTCCATGTATTTTCTTTCTTTTGTTCATTTGGGTAACTTCTATTATTTTGTCTTCCAGTTTATTGATTCTTTTTTCTGTTCCCTTTCTGCATTGAACCTATACGCTGAGCTTTTTGTTTGTCGCTGTATTTTTCAGTTACAAACTTTCCTTTTGGTTCTCCATGTCTTTCACTTCTTTCCTGGGACCTTGTTGTTTCTTTGCTGAGGCTTCCTATTCTTTCATTTGTTTCAAGTGTGTTTGTAATTGCTCATGAAGCATTTTTATCATGGCTATTTAAAAATCTTTGTCAGGTGATTTTAACATTGTTGTCAACTTAGTGTTAACACCTGTCAATTGTCTTTTTAAATTCATTTGGAGGTCTTGGTAATCACTTTGTATAAGTGATTTTTTTAATTGAAACTTGGACACTTGAGTGTTTGTATGAGACCCTGGATCTTATTTAAACCTGCTACTTTTCACTGATTTTTTCTTACACTGCTCTGACAGGGAAGGTGGTGGTGGGGGTGTGGGGGGTGCTGGTGGGCTCCATTACTGCCAGGTGGAGGTGGAGAAGTCCAGGTTTTCCACTGGCCTCTGCTGACACCTGGGGGCGCCTAGTGATTTCTTGTTACTGCTTAGTGGGAATGGGAGTTCTAGCTCCCCCGTAGCCCCCAATGACACTGCTGTGGAGATGGCCTTGTTATACTTGGGTGAAGGTGAAAGTCCTGACCCTCCACCAGGCCTCTGATGCCACCCCAGTAGGCAGGGGGAGGGGCATATATTTTTGCCAGGTTGGGGTGGAAGTCCAGGCTCCCCACATGACCTCTACTGACACCACAGGGGTAGGACAATTTCTTATTTGGCCATTGGAGATGAACTTCCTGGTTCCATACTTAGCCTTCTCTGCCACCATCTTGGTGGGAGTGTTGGGGTGCCTTGGTACTGCCTTGTGAGGGTAGAAATTTTGGCTGCCCACCCAGCCTTTGCTGGTTCAGGGGGGTCAGGGCCACAGTTTTTCCTCTCATTTTTGCCCGGAGTACAGGGGTTATTATCTAAGATTGTTCTGTCTTGCTAGGCTGCTTTAGTCCTTTGGCTAGAGAAAATGGGTGCTTTTTGTTGTTTTTGTTTTGTTTTGTTTTGTTTTGTTTTGAGTCTGCGCTCAGTGACAATTTGCCAGCTTCCTCAGCTCCAAACTTGGAGTGTATGAGGCATAAGAAAGCCCGGAGACTCGCTGCCGTGTTGTTGCTTGCGTCCCGAGGTCTTCAGTGTGTCTTCTGTCTTCTCTCCACCTTTAAACATCTTCTTAGGCTTGGTTTATATAAGATGCCCAAGGTTTTCAGTTGTACTTAGTGGGAGGAATAGAGAAAAGTATATCTTCTACTCCTTCTTCCTCGAAATCCTCTGACAACATTTTGATCATGCTTACACTTTTCTAATTAGAACAGTACGGTTTCATTTTAGAAAATGAATATGTTTTAAAAAATAAGAAAATTTAAATTACCTAGAATCATTTTCTAAAGAGTTAACTATTTCCAGCTTTTTTCTACATAATATAAAGTGTATTATTGTGTGTGTGTGTGTGTATATATATATATTTTTAAATGTCTTTACAAAATTGGAATCTTACTACAAATTGAGGTTTCTATTCAATTTTTTCCCATAACATTAATAAAATTATAAGCTTTTTCTGATATTTGAAGTATCCATCTGTTCAGTGGAGATACTGGTTCACTTGTTCATGGGTACACCATTATCCAGCTTCTGTGGTAAGCAGAGCATTTAAGAGGAAGGGCAGGCATGTGGGCTCCGTGAGCTCACATTGGTGGGGAGCTAGACCCTGGGTACTTCATCAGGACTGTGGAGAAGAGGGTAAAGTAGAAGTCCTGATGCTCAAAACTAGCAGGTGGTGGCGGCCTATCTCGGCATACCAGGAAAGGATTTTGTGAGGAAACTGTGCTTTAGTCAAAAGAAGTGGTTAGTGAGGCAGAGGATGGGGTGATGGGAGTACTTATAGCAGAGGGGACAACACCTGTGAATACTCTGAGGGAAGGTGCTTGACAGCTCATGAATTCTAACCAGCTTCTAAGATATCTGCCAACTAATCTTTATCATTACATTTCAGGAAACTGGAGCACCCATCCTAACTGATGATGTTAGCCTGCAGGTGTTCATGGACCATTTGAAGAAGCTGGCTGTCTCCAGTGCCTGCTAAGCTGAGGATGCAACCAGGAAATTGAAGAGAACGGTGTCAGATCGTGTTCAAAATGTCTAGAAAGGCTTAATAACATTCCTGTTACTTTTCTAGCAGATTTTAACAAATAATCAAGGAAATTTTGTATGTAACTCTTTAGATTATAATTTATTTGTATTCCTGTCTTTGTCCTTTTTCTTGCACTATAAAATTATAAGGTCATAAATGTTTTGGTACTTGTAGATGTTTATGTGCTTTTTGTATCCTAACTTTTAGAATCTAAATAAAATCAGAGGTAGTGTATTTTGGCAACTTGTTTAGGTGAGAATCTTAATGATCATAAAGGAAATAAATCTAGATGCAGAAAGTACTGGCTAAAATATTGCTAATACAAATGTGATTTCCTGAGGTGTCTGTGTGAGTGTGTATGTGTTTTAAGTGACTTCCTTAAGAGGTGTTTCCTGAACTTAATCCTCATAATTAAAGTAATACATATGCAGGATCAAAATGAAACAAATACCTTATCCTAAAGAGCTTATAACAAATAAGTTACCTCCACTCTATAAACTCAGACCTACTTTTTGAAGATAACTGCTTTTAACCTCTCCTTACAAGATTTTTGTTGTTGATGTATTTAATTTTAGCCCATATCTCAATTCCCAAAGAATCAAGATATTAAGACCTTTCTCTCTATTCTCCAGCTATACCTTTGGTCATTTTTGTATTTTTATTTTTATATATATTATTTATTTTTATATTATCAAGATAGGTAAAATTTATATTCTGGGTCAGGTACAGTGGCTCACACCTGTAATCCCAATGCTTTAGGAGGCCAACGCAGGAGACTTACTTGAGGCCAAGAGTTTGAGACCAGCCTGGGCAACATAGCAAGACTGTCTCTACAAAAAATTTTAAAAGTTACTGGGCCATGGTGGTGTGTAACTGTAGTCCTAGCTACTTGGGAGGCTAAGGCAGGAGGATCGCTTGAGCCCAGGAGTTCAAGGTTGCAGTGAGCTCTGATTATGCCACTGCACTCCAGCCTGGGTGGGAGAGCAAGACCCTGTTTCAGAAAAAAAAGAAATTATATTCTGGCCTATTATCATATCTTTTGTCACTAAGTTGATTGTGAAAGCTGAAAGCTCCTAAGAAGCATTTACACAGTCATGATGATGTAAATATTGTTCAAGTCCAAGCCAGGTAGGATGCCATTTTTCTCTAGGGTGCCAGTGTCCCAGTCGGTCCCTATGCCACTTGGAGGAAAACATTCCGAAGGACAGAATCAGAGTTACTTTCTTACATTCCATCGCGCCATATGTTGGCTTGCTCCCTATTTGGATTATGATTTCTTAGATTTGCTGTGGTTTTCCTCAGAATTTCTAAACTTTGTTTGCTTTTTGAGAGAAGAAATATTTTGTTCTCTATTTACTAAGAAACCCTAGCTTATTCTACTGAATGAAGTCCATTTTTTTCTTCTTTGGAGGCCACTGATGTCCCCTTTTAACGGGGGCCAATCACTTTGACCTGCTGCACAGCTGTCATCCAGGAATTTCTTCTGTTTGGAATCTTGGGTTAGTTTCACTCTTCCCTTTATTCCATAAGGCATTTTGCATTCTCAAATGATTTTTACTAAAGGGAGTACTTGGGGAGAATTCACTGGATCTCAGCATATCTGCAAATCTATTCTGTCTTCAATACTTTACAGCTTTGCTAGGTAATATGGTTTGGATATTTGTCCCCTCCAAGTCTGTCATTGAAATGTAATCCCCAGGATTGGAGGTGGGGCCTGGTGGTAGGAGTTTGGGTCATACCAGTGGATCCTTCATGAATGGCTTGGTGCCATCCTCACAGAAATGAGAGAGTTGTTGTCCTGAGTTCAAACGAGGTACGATTGTTTAAAAGTGTGTTGGCTGGGCATGGTGGCTCATGCTTGTAATCCCAGCACTTATGGAGGCCACGGCGGGCGGATTACCTGAGGTCGGGAGATCGAGACCAGCCTGGCCAACATGGTGAAACCCTGTCTCTACTAAAAATACAAAAATTAGCCGAGCGTGGTGGTGGGCGCCTATAATCCCAGCTATTCAGGAGGCCGACGCATGAGAATGACTTGAACCCAGGAGGCAGAGGTTGCAATGAGCCGAGATCATGCCACTGCACTCCCTGGGGGACAAAGACTTTCTCAAAAAATTAAAAAGTGTTACCTCCCCCACCTCTTCCTCTCGTTCTTGCCATGTGATACATCAGGCTACCTCTTCGCCTTTTGCCCTGATTGTAAGCTTTCTGAGGGCTTCAGAAGCAGATGCTGGCACCATGCTTCCTGTACAGCCTACAGAACCATGAGCCATAAACATAAACCGTAAACCTCTTTTTAAAATAAATTACCCAGTCTCAGGTGTTCTGTTACAGAGAGGCAAAAACAGACTAACCCACTGGCTCTAAAAGTATAGGCCCAAGATAATCTCAGAACTTTGGAGCCATTTTTTCATTAATTCAACAAATAACTATCCAGTACTTGTTGTCCATGGAGTAGTCTTCTAGGCATTGGGAATATTGCCAATAAAACAAAAATTGCTGTTTCATAGAGCTTATGCATTAGTTAGGGAAGACCAACAGTAACAATGTGAGAAGTAAATGATATGGCTGGGCGCGGCGGCCCAGACCAGGCTGGCGTGCAGACCAGCCTGGCCAACATGGCGAAACCCTTTATTAAAAATACAGAAATTAGCCAGGCGTGGTGGCGCACACCTGTAATCCCAGCTACTTGGGAGGCTGAGGCAGGGACAGTTGTTTGAACCCAGGAGGCGGAGGTTGCAGTGAGATTGCGCCACTGCACTCCAGCCTGGGCAACAGAACGATTCTCCGTCTCTGTGGAGAAAGGAAAAGAAAGATCAGAGTGTTACTGTATCTATATAGAAAGTAGACATAAGAGACTCCATTTTGTTCTGTATTTGAGATGCTGTTAATCTGTGACCCTACCCCCAACCTTGTCCTTGCAAGAGACATGTGCTGTGGTGACTCAAGGTTTAACGGATTTTGGGCTGTGCAGGGTGTGCTTTGTTAAACAAGTGCCTGAAAGCAGCTTGCTGGTTAAGTCATCACCATTCTCTTAATCTCAAGTACCCAGGGACACGCACACTGCCAAAGGTCGCAGGGACCTCTGCCTAGGAAAGCTAGGTATTGTCCAAGGTTTCTCCCCATGTGATAGTCTGAAATATGGCCTCGTGGGAAGGGAAAGACCTGATCATCCCCCAGCCTGACACCCGTGAAGGGTCTGTGCTGAGGAGGACTAGTGTAAGAGGAAAGAAGGCCTCTTGGCAGTTGAGATAGAGAAAAGCATCTGTCTCCTGCCTGCCCCTGGGCAATGGAACATCTCGGTGTAAAATCCCGTTGTGTGTTCTGTTTACAATGCTGCTCTTTATGCACTAAAAAGGTTCATGGAGATGTTTGCATATGCATATCAAGGCACAGCACTTTTCCTTAAACTTATGTTTAAGGAAAATAAGAGATCTTTATTCATATGTCTTACTGCTGACCTTCTCCCTATGATGATCCTATTATCCTGCCACTTCCGTTTTTCTAAGATGGTAAAGATAATGATCAATAAATACTGAGGGAACTCAGAGACCAGTGCTGGCCTGGGTCCTCTGTATGCTGAGTGCTGGTCCCCTGGGCCCACTTTTTCCTTCTCTATACTTTGTCTCTGTGTCTCATTTCTTTTCTCAAGTCTCTCGTTCCACCTAACGAGAAACGCCCACAGGTGTGGAGGGGCAGGCCACCCCTTCACGTCTCAAAAAAACCAAAACAAACAAAAAAATGAAGTAAATGATACATTAGAAGGTAATGAGTGCTATGTAGAAAATGAAGCTGGAAGCTCCTATTAATTGGATGTTGGACCAGCTGGATTTATTCCGATATTCTATCTTTTGAATTTGTATTTGAATACAAGTTATTGTATTTCTTTTTGTCTCTGCCCTACATTCTAGCAGAATTCCAGCAGAGTTTCCTATCTTAAAATGTTGAACATTGGCCAGGCATGGTGGCTCACGCCTGTAATCCTAGCACTTTGGGAGGCCAAGGCGGGCGGATCACTTGAGGTCAGGAGTTCAAAACCAGCCTGGCTAACATGGTGAAACCCCGTCTCTACTGAAAATACAGAAAAATTAGCCATGAGTGGTGATGGGCGCCTGTAATCCCAGCTACTTGGGAGGCTGAGGTAGGAGAATCGCTTGGACCTGGGAGGTGGAGGTTGCAGTGAGCACACCACTGTACTCCAGACTGGGCGACAGAGGGAGACTCCATTTCAAAAAAAAAAAAAAGTTGAACATTTACATTTTAAATTCCGAGAGCTTTTATTTTCTGCGCTTTTTCCAAGAATATTTTTAGTTTTGGATGTAATTTTTAACACATCATATAGAAGAATACATAAAGCTGTCTGTACAGATTAAGGCCAAAACATCCTTCTTCAGCTTTTCTGTTTCAAATTAACAGAAAAAAGAGTGTATGATAGACCCAGCTAACTCTGGGGTGCTCTCAAGTGTCAGTGAGTTAAGGAACTGAGGGCACAGCATGGTATGACATGGCCATGCAGGTCCCACCTTGGGGTACCAGTGACTTTTTCCACAGAATGTAGGGGGTGGTGGGGTGATAGTGCTGTGTGGAAAACACCCATCGTGAGAAGGGATCACTGAGCCCAGTATGCCCAGTGAGGACTCTGAACTCCATCCTTTTATTAATTGTTAATTTTTGTGGGTATTGAACTCCATCTTGAAGGTAAGGCAAGCCTCTGACTTATCTTAGGCAGAGGGTGAAATGATAATTTAAGATTTGAAACACACTCCAGAGGGGGAAGGATGAGAGGAGACTAATCCAGGTGAGAAATGAGGCCTAAACAGAGACGGTATTTAGACAGAGGTGACAGAGAGGATGTCAGGTGAGATGATTCCAAGTTTCTGGTTTGGGAAATTTCTCAATCACTCTCTGAATTAGGGAAGAGAAAGGGAAGGTTTGTTTCCTGTGGGAGTGGCACTGATAAATTCAATTCTGAACATTTTTTTTAGCTTCAGGAGCTTGTGGAATATGCAGCCGAGGATGCATAGCAGGTTGGCAGTAACATGAATTTGCTTTCAGAGAATCTGGAGTAGATTTGAGAGTTATTTATTTATTTATTTATTTATTTTTTGAGACAGAGTCTCGCTCTGTCGCCCAGGCTGGAGTGCAGTGGCGTGATCTCGGCTCACTGGAAGCTCTGCCTCCCGGGTTTACGCCAATCTCCTGCCTCAGCC